TACTTTCTGATGCCTAAATGATACTTTCCTGATATCTAAATGATACTTTCCGATACCTAAATGATACTTTCTGATGCCTAAATGATACTTTCCGATACCTAAATGATACTTTCCGATACCTAAATGATACTTTCTGATGCCTAAATGATACTTTCCTGATATCTAAATGATACTTTCCGATACCTAAATGATACTTTCTGATGCCTAAATGATACTTTCCGATACCTAAATGATACTTTCCGATACCTAAATGATACTTTCCGATACATAAATGATACTTTCTGATGCCTAAATGATACTTTCCTGATATCTAAATGATACTTTCCGATACCTAAATGATACTTTCTGATGCCTAAATGATACTTTCCTGATATCTAAATGATACTTTCCGATACCTAAATGATACTTTCTGATGCCTAAATGATACTTTCCGATACCTAAATGATACTTTCCGATACCTAAATGATACTTTCTGATGCCTAAATGATACTTTCCTGATATCTAAATGATACTTTCCGATACCTAAATGATACTTTCTGATGCCTAAATGATACTTTCCGATACCTAAATGATACTTTCCGATACCTAAATGATACTTTCCGATACATAAATGATACTTTCTGATGCCTAAATGATACTTTCCGATACCTAAATGATACTTTCCGATACCTAAATGATACTTTCTGATGCCTAAATGATACTTTCTGATACCTAAATGGTACTTTCCGATACCTAAATGATGATACTTTCCGATACCTAAATGATGATACTTTCCGATACCTAAATGATGATACTTTCCGATACCTAAATGATGATACTTTCCGATACCTAAATGATACTTTCCGATACCTAAATAATACTTTCTGATACCTAAATGATACTTTCCTGATATCTAAATGATACTTTCCAATGCCTAAATGATACTTTGATACTCTAATGATACTCTACAATACCTTATGATACTTCCACTTCCGCCAAAATATAGCTAATGACATTGAGTGAATGCTTTAGGCACGTACTACACCATCAACAAATAGATTTGCTTCTAATCATCTAAATCACGACGCCAGCACATTCAGAAATAGCAGTTTGTTTGCAAAAGCTGCTAAACGCCACCTGCCTTTGACAGCAAAAGCCACTATATTCCGAGAAGCAATCAGAAGCATGTATCGAATCATATGTGTTCAATGTAGCAGTGCACTGACACGCCGGCTTTATGAGGAGACTGTTTAATTCTGCTTTCCATTTCGATTTTAAAAGACGGAGTTTTATGAAATAGATGAGCCTGTCCGACTGTCAGTGAATGGCAAATGAAAACGTCTCTCACCTCAAAACTCTGAGCATTATAATAAAAAGAAAACACACTGTACAGTCGGGAGTGCAGCATGCATTCAGAACTTGTTTTTGAACAGCGATACAACTGAGGACTGCGGTTCTTTTATCCCACGTGGATGATGTGAAGATAAACAAGAAACCAAGACTGATTTTGACCCAAAAAATTGACCTTGTTAAAAACCAAAGAATTGCCTAAAGTAAAATCTTAAAAAGAGGTATTTCATTTACCAGCTAATAACCTTATCATTACATATAAAATGAAACTTCTGAACCTAATCAGACGAGCCTGATAAAAAATTATTAGCCCCTGTTTATTTTTTCCCAAAGTTCTGTTTAACAAAGAGCAGATTTCTTCAACACATTTCTAATCATAATAGTTTTAATAATTCATCTCTAATGACTGATTTATTTTCTCTTTGTCATGATGACAGTAAATAATATTAGGCTAGATATTCTTCAAGACACTTCTATACAGCTTAAAGTGACTTTTAAAGGCTTCACTAGGTTAATTAGGGTAACTAGGCAGGTTAGGGTAATTAAGCAAGTTATTGTGTAATGATGGTTTGTTCTGTAGACTATCGAAACACAATAAGGGGGCTAATAATTTTCACCTTAAAATGGTGTTTAAGAAATTAAAAACAGCTTTAATTCTAGCTGAAATAAAACAAATAAGACTTTCTCCAGAAGAAAAAATATTATCAGACATACTGTGAAAATGCCCCTGCTCATCATCTGAGAAATATATATATATTTATAAAAATTAAAAAAAATTTAAATGGGGGCGAATAATTCTGACTTCAATTGTATATATAATTGTATATATAAATACACAAAAAAATGCTATATATATATATATATTAATTAAATGTATTTATATAATGTCCACCTTGCTCAAAAGTTCAGCTCAGAACAGCCAAAAATGAATCACTCTTCAGCACGTGGATCAACAATAAGTGCAGGAAAACAAGAAAAGTGCTGCCATTTACTTGAGCGGTGACTCAGACAGGAGGTCAGCAGCTTCAGAAAGATAGAAATAGAGAGTTTTGGACACATCTGGACTCACAGGGTTTTCATCTATGAGGAACGCAGACCACTTATTTCGGGGAAGTTTTTCTGAATGGAGGATCGAATGAGGGAGGATATAATAACATAATGAAAGTGTTTTGACCTTGTTTACGTTACAAGAACTAATCAGAAGTTTAAATTACAACATTAAAACTTTAATTAAAATAAAAAAATACATTTATTAATTAAAGCAATCTGGAAAGAGTTATTATAGTTAACCAACACTTTCATACCTAAATGATATTTTTTTTGATACCTAAATGACACTTTACTGATACTTAAATGTTACAATTTCGATATTTAAATGATATATTTTTGATACCTAAATGACACTTTTCCAATACCTAAATGTTACAATTTCGGTACCAAAGTGATACTCTTTCAATGCCTAAATGATACTGTTTTGATCCTTAAAGGATACATTTTCGACACCTAAATGACACTGTACTGATACCTAAACAATACTTTTAGATACTTAAATGATACATTTTTGATACTGATATATTTTGATAAGTAAATGATATTTTTCCAATACTTAAATGATACATTTTCGATACCTAAATGATACTCTTTCAATACCTAAATTATAAATTTTTTATACTTAAATGATATTCTTTCGATACCTAAATGACATATTTTCGATACCTAAATGGTACTTTTCCAATACCTAAATCAGGGGTCTCAAACTCGCGGACCGCGGGCCATTTGCAGCCCTCAGTGCAATATTTTGTGGCCCGCGCCGACCGCTGTACTCTGACAGAATCAGCGGAGCGGGGAGAGAGAGCGCTCCCCGATCCGCTGATTCTATCCGTACACAGCGCGCTTGTCACTCAATGCGCGTTGTCGCGCGCGTTCTGATCAGCTGTGTTGTCGCGCGCATACTCAAGAGCGGTGTTATCGCGCGCCTACTGAAGGGCGGGACCGAGGGTGTGTCGCGTCGCGGGGGCACTTTTGATCATTTTGGAAGGGCACTTTCTATGCAAGACTAAAAAGGGCATGTGCTCTGCACAGGTTGAGCCCTATGTGTGCACATGCCTGCCCTGCATCTTATATATATTATCAGCCTGATCTCACGAGAAAACGTAAGTATTTAACGTTTTGCCAGTTTAGTGGCTAATTCGTACAAATTCGTACGAGTTCTGTCGTACGAAATGGTACGATTTTTAAAAGGAAGCGTGGCACCTGACCCCACCCCTAACGCCAACCGTCATTGGGGGATAAGCAAATCGTACTAAATTGTACGAATTAGATTGTACGAATTCATACAAATTAGCCACTAAATGAAAAAGTTACGAATTGCCGTGCGATTGTGTTGATATTATAGGTAGATACAGACTGGTACAGACTGATGTGACTGGAGTGGGGTGGGGGTGTTTTATTTATACATATATACGCCTTTTTTTAGGTGAGGGAATGGAAGTTTTGAGTGAGTTCCCCCACTTTTTTCCCTAGGACTTCAATAAGTCAAAGTACAGGTCTAGACTTAATGATGATCATCTTCAAGCCATACTGAGGGTCTCAACTGCTTCCGCTCTAAAGCCAAATGTGGTTCAGATTTGTGAGAAGAAGCTCTGTCAAGTCTCTGGCAGCAAGGCGTAGGCAAAAGATGCCATGTTCAGAAGAACTGTTCATAATCTTCACTCAATGTTCAATTAATGTTCAGGACACTTCATGTTCAGAAGAAATAATTAAAACTGTTAATAATGACATTTGAGGACTTTTTTTTGTGAAATCCCTTATGCGGCCCAGCCTCACCCAGACTTTGCCTCCTGCGGCCCCCAGGTAAATTGAGTTCAAGACCCCTGACCTAAATGATACATTTTTGATCCTTAAATGGAACTCTTTCGATAAATAAATGAGACTTTTTACGATACCTAAATGACACTACTGTTACCCAAATGATACTTTTTCGATACTTAAATGATACATTTTGATACCTAAATGATACCTTTCCGATACCTTAATGATTCTTTTTTCCCAATACATTTTTAATACCTAATTAATACATTTTCGATACCTAAATGATGCATTTTCAATCCTTAAATGATACTCTTTCGATACCTTTCTGACATTTTTTCAATACCTATTTGATACACTTTCCATACTTAAATGTCACATTACCGATACCTAACTGATACTCTTTCGATACTTAAATGATACTTTTTCGAAACTAAAACAATACATTTTTGATACTTAAATGATTCATTTTGATAACTACATGATACATTTTCGCTATCTAAATGATACTTTTCCGATGCCTAAACGATATATTTTCGATACGTAAATGATACTCTTTCGATACCTAAAAGATACTTTTCTGATACTTAAATGATACTTTTTTCAATACTACTTTTTCCAGTTTTGATACCTAAATGACACTATTCCAATACCTAAATGGACACCTACATCACACTTTTTTGATACATAAATAATACATTTTTGATACCTAAATGATGAGTTTTTTCATTAACTAACATGAAAAAAGATGAATACATTTTGTAATAAATGTATTTTTTCCCTGTTTATGTTGGTAAAACTAAAAGTGTAAAATGTTACCAACAAAACTACACATTTTTTATAAAATAAGAAGACTTTATAACTAAATAAGACTATAAATTTTGAGTTTTGAGCATCATGACCATGCAAAAAAATAATGAAATGAATAATAAATAAATAGTGTATGTGTGCGTGTACCTTTCATCAGGCCGCAGTGAGTGGCAGTAGAAGTCGGGGCGGTTGACGAAGAAGCCAGTCCTCTTCACCACACTTTCGGCGATCATACTGAGCCGATCCAACACATTGCACAGCTTACTGAACACACACAAACAACAGAGCAGAAGAAAGAGGAATAAATACATATACACAGCTTACTGAGCACACAACACGGCACAATAAAGAGGGATTCAGAAATATAAATGAGTCGTTGACTGCAGACTCTATGATCAGATAAGTTGAATCAGTGAGTTGTTAACTGTAGACTCATTATGAACAGATCATTGAATCAGTGCGTCTTTAACTGTACACTTACTATAAAAAGATCATTTGAATCAGAGTCTTTAACTGTAGAATCACTCACTGTGAACAGATCATTTGAATCAGTGAGTCTTTAACTGTAGACTCACTCACTATGAACAGATCATTTGAATCAGAGTCTTTAACTGTAGAATCACTCACTGTGAACAGATCATTTGAATCAGTGAGTCTTTAACTGTAGACTCACTCACTATGAACAGATCATTTGAATCAGTGAGTCTTTAACTGTAGACTCACTCACTATGAACAGATCATTTGAATCAGTGAGTCATTCACTGTACTCTCTATAAACTGATCATTTGAATCGGTGAGTTGTTAACAGTAGACTCACTATGAACAGATTGGCTGAATCAGTGAGTCTTTAACTGTAGACTCACTATGAACAGATCATTTGAATCAGAAAGTCATTAACTGTAGACTCACTCACAATGAACAGATCATTTGAATCAGTAAGACGTTAACTGTAGACTCAATCACTATGAACAGATCATTTGAATCAGTAAGTCATTAACTGTAGACTCACTCACAATGAACAGATTATTTGAATCAGTAAGACGTTAACTGTAGACTCAATCACTATGAACAGATCATTTGAATCAGTAAGTCATTAACTGTAGACTCACTCACAATGAACAGATCATTTGAATCAGTAAGATGTTAACTGTAGACTCAATCACTATGAACAGATCATTTGAATCAGTAAGTCATTAACTGTAGACTCACTCACAATGAACAGATTATTTGAATCAGTAAGACGTTAACTGTAGACTTAATCACTATGAACAGATCATTTGAATCAGTAAGTCATTAACTGTAGACTCACTCACAATGAACAGATCATTTGAATCAGTAAGACGTTAACTGTAGACTCAATCACTATGAACAGATCATTTGAATCAGTAAGTCATTAACTGTAGACTCAATCACTATGAAAAGATCATTTGAATCAGTAAGACGTTAACTGTAGACTCAATCACTATGAACAGACCATTTAAATCAGTGATTCATTAACTGCAGACTCACTATGAACAAATCATTTGAATCAGTGAGTCATTAACTGTAGACTCACTATGAACAAATCATTTGAATCAGTGAGTCATTAACTGTAGACTCATTATGAACAGGTCATTTGAATCAGTGAGTCATTAACTGTACTCTCTATAAATCGAAAATTTGAATCGGTGAGTTGTTAACGGTAGACTCACTATGAACAGATTGATTGAATCAGTGAGTCACTAATTGTAGACTCACTATAAACAGATCATTTGAATCAGTAAGTCATTAACTGTAGGCTCACTCACTATAAACAGATCATTCGAATCAGTGATTCCTTAACTGTAGACTCTCTATGAACAGATCATTTGAATCCATGAGTCTTTAACTGTTGACTAACTATGAACAGATTATTTGAATCAGCGATTCATTAAGTGTAGACTCTCGGTGAATAGATCATTTGAACCCATGAGTCGTTAACTATTGACTCACTATGAACTGATCATTTGAATCAGTGATTCTTTAACAGTAGACTCTTTATGAATGGATCATTTGAATCAGGGAGTCGTTAACTGTAGACTCTTAATGAACAGATCATTGAATCAGAGAGTCATTAACTGTGGATTCTCTAAAAACAGGACAATTGAATCAGTGAGTTGTTCACTGTATACTCACTATGAACAGATCATTTGAATCAGTGAGGTGTTTACAGTAGACTATGAACACATTATTTGAATCAATGAGTTGTTAATGGTTAACTCAGTAGGAAAAGACCATTTGAATCAGTGAGTCGTATACTGTAGACTATGAACATATCTGAATTAGTGAGTCATTAACTATAGACTCTCTATGAACAGATTATTTGAATCAGTGAGTTATTAACTGTAGAGTCTCTGTGAACTCTCTATTAAACCGTTAACTATTGATTCTCCATAACCAGATCACTTTTTTTAAAGTAAAAAGCAAATGTTTCCACAAGTAAAAAATACCCTAGTACAGTAGTAGTACAGTAAATTTAGTTAGTGTCCAGCACTGCTGATGATCATGGGCAGTATTATACAGCATTGCGCACCTCTTGGTGTATCTGGCCATGTCCCAGGCGATGTACTCGATGTTGTGCTCCGGCGGGAGGAACTGGTTCAGGTTTGTGATCGCTCGATAAAGCTCCTCGCTCAGGATCTTCTCATGCTTCCTCTTCTCTCGTTTCTGACCAAATCAAAACACCAACACAACCATTACTGCACGTGTTCACAATTAATGCATACAAATTAAACATATACAGCTGAGGTCACAATTACTCGCCCTCCTGGGATTTTTTTCCAATATTTCCCAAATGATGTTGAACAGATTCAGGAGTTTTTCACAGCATTTCGTCTAATATTTGTTCTTCTGGAGAAAGTGTTTTATTTCTAGAATAAAAGCAGTTTTTAAATGTTTTAAAGCCATTTTAAGGTCAATATTATTCGCCCCTTAAGCAATATTAGTTTTGGATTGTCTTAAGAACAAACCACTGTTATACAATGACTTGCCTAATTACCCTAACTTTACCCTAATTACCCTAGTTCAGCCTTTAAATGTCACTTTAAGCTGTATAGAAGTGTCTTGAAGAATATCTAGTCTAATATTATTTACTGTCATCATGACAAAGAGAAAATAAATCAGTTATTAGAAATTAATCACTTCAGCGGTGATAGTTTTTATTTCCCAGCATGATAATGATCCACTAATAACGGTGAACTCCAATATGGAGAAAGAAAAAGCAGCCGATGAACCACAGACAGTCATGAAATGGCCTCCACAGAGTTCAGATCTGAATATTATTGAGGCTGTATGAGATAAGAAAGATAAGACACTCTGACTGTAATGAAGAACTCTGTAAAGTGCTAAAAGCCTGATGTTACACAGTACACAGCACAATTTCAGAAAAGGTCAGGACAATTAGTACGAAACAAGGGTAAACACATTCAACAGACTTTAACTTGAAGAGGAAATGTTGTTCTGTGTTTTTATTAAGGAGACTGATTGATAATACTCTCACCGGCCACTTTGTTGGGTACACCCAGGGCTTAATTTAACCTACGCCAGATCCGGACACTCTGAAATCTGATCTGGCACCTAATTTTACCGATCCCCCTCCTCTCCGGCCTTTGTTCACTTTCACTTTCTTCCGTGACTCCGCAACCCTCTTCACTTTCGTCTGCAACAACCCCCAGTCTTCACTTTCGGCCTTCGTCCGCGACACTCCTCTGCCATCCATGAGCCTAAAGTGTGCCAAGAAAATCTCCCGCACACCATTACACCACCACCACCTGCCTGAACCACTGATACAAGGCAGGATGATCCATGCTTTCATGTTGTTGAGGCCAAATTCTGACCCGAACATCCGAATGTGTCAGCAGAAATGGAGACTCATCAGAGCAGCAACGTTTCTCCAATCTTCTATTGTCCAGTTTTGGTGAGTCTGTGTGAATTGTAGCCTCAGTTTCCTGTTCTTAGCTGACAGGAGCGGCACCCGGTGTGCTCTTCTGGCTGCTGTAGCCCATCCGCCTCAAGGTTGGACGTGTTGTGTGTTCAGAGATGCTCTTCTGCAGAGCTCGGTTGTAGCGAGTGCTTATTTGAGTTACTGTTGCCTTTCTATCAGCTGGAACCAGTCTGGCCATTCTCCTCTGACCTCTGGCATTAACAAGGCATTTGTGCCCACAGAACTGCCGCTCGCTGGAAATCAGAGCATTCTCTATAAACCCTAGATATGGTTGTGTGTGAAAATCCCAGTAGATCAGCAGTTTCTGAAATACTCAGAGCAGCCTGTCTGGCAGCAACAACCATGCCATGTTCAAAGTCTCTTAAATCCCCTTTCTTCTCCATTCTGATGCTCGCTTTGACCTGCAGCAGATCCTCTTGACCATGTCTACATGCCTAAATGCACTGAGCTGCTGCCATGTGATTGGCTGATAAGATGTTTGTGTTAACGAGCAGTCGGACAGGTGTACCTTATAAAGTGGCCGGTGAGTGTATATTGTGCAAAAGTCTTAGGCCAACAAAGCAGTTATAGTGCTCAGGACATTTTTGCTCAGTATTGTATGTGGTGATTTGGTGGATAAAGGGTTAAAGGATGAATCAGAAACTAAAGCCACAGTATTTATCATTTCTGGAGGGCATCAGATGTGCACTGAAGCACATGCTGTGTGCGGATGCAGACATACCGAGCAAACTTCTGACTCAAACATACTCCTCTATAGGGAATCATGACTAATGCAGTATCAAGACAATCTCCATCACACACACACACACACACGTGATCAATCCGCCACTATTTGCACATGCTTTTGAGCGAATTTTCTTAGAAATCATTGTGCAGTTGTTTGAGTCCTCCTGCGGCCAACAATAACACACACACACACACACACGCACACACACACACACACACTCTCTCTACTGGAGGCCGATGAAACAGACACACACAGAGAGTTTGTGCTGGAGGTCAACACACTCGC